ACTGGTTTTGTTTCCTAATATATTTACTAGGGAGGTGGACAAAAAAGAACAAAAAGATTCTAATTCTAATGAGTTACATTTTCTAGTTTTTATAGCCCCGTTAAAAGATATGCACAAAAGTAAACTGTCACAATATGAATCTGCTTTGGCCTCTAAATGGCTTTTTAGTCCAATCGCTATGAGGACATCAGCAGAATGTAATTTAATGTATCCTAAAAGAATCATTGTTTCTTTCAAAGCCATTTGCACATTTGGGAGTCTGCCCCTCTGTGTTCTGATTCAAAAAGGTGCTGTGCTGATGTTAGATGCTGAGGGTGAGGAAAGGATAGAGGCTTTGGGCTCTAAGAAAATAAAACTTGACTCACACTGACTTAAATAAGCAAGGATTAAGTGTCCCCTGCCCCCTTGCATATAGATCCAGCCAGGTGATCTCTGGTTTCCTGCCCATTCAGCCCTAGGCATCAGGAGTGTTTTAAACAAGGGTGCTGGAGGGACAGAGCTTCCTCTGCGTCAGCGAAACAAAAGCTTTTCCCAAGAACACCAGCGTGGACCTGTGCTTATCTCTCCCTAGCCAGGGCTGTGCCACTTCGCTGCTCCTGCCTAAGATAAAGTGAAACACATCCTGCTGGCAGCTTAGCTGTGGAGGCTGCTTTAGGCTTGAAATAGAAACTGCAGCTTGCAGAGTAAGTAGACCTCACTGCTCCAAACCAACCCAAGCATGATCACCACCTTCTTAAGCTCAACTCCTTAAGGCCAGCGCCCTCCTGCCACACCTCCTGGGTGTGACCACGGAAAGCAAGTCCAGCAACCACGTGGGCCCACAAAGTTCCCAGAGCAGGGTCTTCTGCAGCTACTCTTCTAGTGTACAGACCTGACCAATGGGTGCCAGGACTGTCTGGGACTCACTCCAGCCCCTGAGCACCCTACCTTCCCCAACTCTGAAATGACCTCTGGTTCTTCGGGTGCCTCTCCCTGGGGGAGGAAGTGAATGAGCCTAAGAGGGTTCTAGGAGTGTTGCTAGAGTCTCTTGCTGTCAGATTTTCAACCTCACGTGGATGAAAACACAGTTGGAAATAGGAGCTGGACCCGTGCCTAAAGATGTCTGCTATAAGGAGTCATGATGTCCTGACCCCAGAATTGGACAAAAGATGGCGAAGATGCAAAAAGAAACAGGAGCTTGTTTTCAAGATAGCTTATCTTTCTTCAAGTAGCCTTCCAGCATTGAAGGTTTGTTGAAAATCCTCCTATCTGAGAGCAAATCACTGAGAGGTGAAAGCCAGAGACCTAGCTGTCCCGGGAGGCTCCTGCCCACCACCACTTTCTCCTCTGGTCCTGGGACTTCCCAGGAGATGGAAAAAAAGACCCCAAAGGCCCAGAGCCCCATGATCACTGTCAGTCATGAGGACCGTTGTGCAATCTGAAGATTCAGGCTTGCTCCATAGTTACATCCCACTGTGTCTCCCCATTTCTACTTAGGTGTCCAACAGAGGAACCTACTCACAACCAACACTGAATTTCTGACGTTTTTCCTCATCGTCCCTTCATAGTACCACAGGCCTTCCCCATCTGAGGAAATAGAAACTCCCTTTCTTACGTTGTTCTTATCAAAGAATCTGGATGTGTTCTCATTTCCTCTTTTTCTCCCACATCCTCCATCTAACATCCACCATGGCATCCTACTGACTCCCCTTTTAATACACTCAGACCTGACCACACCTGTCTTCCTAGATACCAGGCCCCTGGTCCAGGCTGCCAGCACCTCTCTTTGCATTATGAGAAGGCCCTTCTAATTAGTCACCCTGCTTCTACCTTTCTCCTCCCAGAGCCAGACTCCTGCTTTTAATGTGCCACCTGCAGGGTGTCATTGCTCAATGGGAGCCCTGCAGGGGCTCCCTGGTACCCTCAGAATAAATGTCAAATTCTTGCAATGAGCTGCAGGGTGTAGGATGTCGCTCTCAGGGCTGTGCAGGTCTTCCTGCTTGCTGCCCTTCCTCTGTCCTTCCAAGCTCACCACCTGTTTTTTTTTTTCACAGATCCTTGGTCACGATAGGCAGCATCTTTGAGCTGATGATTCTCTGTGCCTAGAATATTCTTTCCACAAATTGGCAAATTCTGTTAACATGAATATTTGGGGTTCGGTGAGGTTCGCTTAAGCTGGAACCAAACACCTTGATCTCCAGTCATGCCAATCCTGACTTTGCTCTACTTCCCCCACCCCCGTAACACTTAGTCCTTCAAACTCATTATATTCATTTTAAAGTTATATTCGTCTCTCGCCATCTGCCCTTCCTCCCCCAGTGTGTGAGCTTCAACTGTGCACAAATCTCTGTTTGGTTCATGGATTTGTCTCAAGTGCCTAGAATGCTGCCTGCTGTCTAATATGCAGTCACAAAGTAAGTGTTGAAGAAAGCGCAGTTCTGCAGCTTAGGGAACATACTCTTTCCTTGTTTCACTGCTGTATTCTGCAAGGAAGCAAGTCAAGAAGACAAACCACTTGCAAATGCACAAAGAAAGAAAAACAGTAAAAATCATGGGGTATTCCAGTGTGACACACAGACAAAACCCCTCAGCATCCTCCTCCCCCAGCTCTTCCCCTGAATTCTACTCATCAAGGCAGGTGTAGCTGCTCTTGTTAGCTCCAAACTTTTTTTTTTTTTTTTTTAAATCAGGACTGTGGCAGAGCTTTTATTTCTTTTCCCCTCATGTTCTCATGTATTTTTTCCCCCTCAAAAATAATTCCTCAATCAATCAAGCTGCAATTTGAAAGAAGAAAAGTAAGAAAGAGTCAAAGCAGGCTTCTTTAGTGCCTAATTGTGTAATTTAAAAATTAAGCAGTGGACACTGGGCAGCTGGAAGCTTTGGCTGATAAGGAGATATCCTCTTGAGGGCCACTGCTGCAGGAGAACAGGCTGAACCCCAGGACTCACTGATGAGATGCAGCTAAAGGGGGACATGACCAGCAGGCTCAGCAAGGCTCTGAGTGTACCTATTGGTATGTGATGTGTGAAAGTTATTGCTCTTAAAATAACAGGACAAGCAGAAAATGATCTCCTTAATGAGCTTAGGAAATCTGTGACAATGTGACTATTTACCCCCAGCTAATCTCCAAGGTTCCCTTCCTAAAGGATAGAAAGAAATGCCCCTGGCCCCACCATCACAAGAAACTTGGCACTGTAGATATTGAGACTGACCCATCTGGGGCGGGGGAGAGCTATATCTGCCAAAAATTAAAATTTGCATTCTGTTTGCCACGTGTTCTCTGTGTTGGTCTCTTCGCCAGGAGTGCCCTCCTCTATTCTTGTCATTCACCAAAGTCTCATTCTTTTTTTTCTTTTTTTTTTAAATGGGGGAGGCAATTTAGATCCTATTGTCTCCATCAGAGTAAGACATTGAAATCTCAATAGCACCTGCCCTTCTCCATTAAAAAATTAATTGTGATGGTCAATAATGCGATGTTCTGACTGAAACAGCAATGCAAGATCTAGCCTGCAAGTGAAGCTGAATGAGGTGACCTGAGTGTTATCCACAGGAATTATTATGTCATTAAAGTTACTGACATGGAAAAAAAATACTAGGTACTAAAATACTTGATTGCATTGTATAACTATTAAGAAGAAATAAAATTTTCCTATATAGAAAACAATTATTAAACTATGTAGAGAAATGTTTAATATCAGAAAAATTTCTTTTTCATCTTTTCTTGCCTTAGGCAGAAATAATACCTAACAAACACATAATGACTCAAAAATTAGGAGTATGTTTCTATTAAAATAGATCACAATTCTATTTAAACATAAACTGTGTAGGATATTAGAATCATTATTCTCATGCATATAATAGAAATACATAGCATGTTATATCTTTGTCTTATTATAAATATATTTAGGCTTTAAAAAGTTAAATTCTGTGCCCACAATAAATTGTGATTTACCACTCACATGAACACAGTTTTATTAAGAATACACGGAAGAAAACTTACCTCACAATGTACTGTTTTATATATTTATGAGATTCATTTTTCTGTGAATGACAGCCCCCCCAAAGATCTCAACTTAAATGTATTTTAAAGACAAGGTCTGCCTAGGGGTTGAGGAAGCTGAGGAAAGAGTCATCTTATTTCAAAATTTAAAAAGATTTTAATGAAGTTTTATTTTCTATAATATAAAATTAATGGGATTATATTTCACAATAAGAGATCTTGCTCAAAAAATTTGAAAATAGCTTAAAAGTCATCTTAAGTCACTAGGTTAACTTTAACTCACAGTTAGATGTAGTAATTTGTTGACAGACAAAACATCACAAAATGTGATCATTTAATGTTTTAATGAATGACATTTTCAGAAGTATGTTAAGGTAGTGTATACAATAATCTCAGAGTATCTCATAGGAAAGTTGTTTCTTCTACATTGTGAGAATTCAATTAAGGGTTTTATGAAAAGCACTTTTCCAGATTTGCAAAAATTTGAAACAGACTAGATATTGTAATATTTCTATGCACACATTTTGTAAACAGAATGAATTATTTGAAATATTTTGCATTAATAAATCCTCATTTGTCCAGAAACATCTTATAATGTTTTATCTTTTTTTCTTTGCAGTGTCTTTGGAGGGGATGATATGCTGAGGTCAAATCATGATCAAGACAAGGAGAAAATGTTCAAATGACGTGTCAGAGATCTACCATAACCTAGCTGTTGCTTGCAAAAGTATTTGCACGATGCTCATATTCTCTGAAGAAGACCGATGCACAAAAGTGACATTATAATACACACTCACACATACACACACACATGTAGATATAATTCTCTTATCAATGATATCAATGTCACAAATATACTTAATAGGCATTGCAAGTGACAATTCCTAGTTCACCCATTTTTTTGTTTTTCTTTCTTTCATTCTTTTTTTTAACTTTTTTTTTCTGGGCATTTCACTTGCTGTACAACCAAGGAATGCCTTGGTAAAGTTTGTTCCACTTGAGGCAGGATGAACAGACTTACCTGTCTATGATGGCGCACATGTCGATGCTGACATTTGCAAAACTTCCCGGCTTCCTTTGTGCCACTTCATACAGATTTACAAGTTGGTCGTCCACTTGGATAAGCTGCATGCATCCTTGGAATGAAGGCTGAAGAACAGAGTGACTTGAGTTATTCATCTGGTTCAGAAAACCTGTGAAACAGAAGAAATGGAAATGTTAACATCAATGTCCGGCATTACTCAAATCCTCATGGGTGTGCTACCTGCCATAGCTGTTGCACCCAAATGCTGTGCTTCTTGGAATGTTGCTTCATGGTGCCTATCACAGAAGAGTGAGCTCCTTGAGAGTGTGAGGTGATTCAGGGGAAGAAGCTGGAGATGACTATAATGGTGAACACCTGTCTCTGGGATCAACTATTATTCTAAAATTCTCTTTTGATGTCTTTCTTACTATGACAATTTCTCTGTCCCTCTGGCATTTCAAGGTCACTGTTACATGTCCTCACCTGAGCCTGACCTGAGAAGAAGACACCAAACTTCAGGTTTTCTCAACGATCCACCTCCTTTCTCCTCTACCTTCAGCATTTACTCCCATTTTCTTAACAGGATTGATTGGGCCTTTCATTCATATGTCAGAAAGCGATATAAATCAATAAAGTGGATTTCTTTTATGAGTCAATGTGCAACTTGATGCAAAGACATAGTTGCATCACAAATGATTTCCCAATTTATAAAATGCAAAGTAACATTATAGAGACATAAATTCTGACAAACGACCAGCATCCTGTTATGAATATCCATCTTATAGAAGCTAACTACTGCAGTATGGTTTTTATAAATGATAACAGACCTAAAATTAAAAGAGACTGAACACTGAGACAAAAAGAAGAAACCCCCAGTAAATAGTGTTGATGTTACAAGGGAATGGAGAGAGTAAGATTTTTATTGATAAATAACTTTAAAGTAATACTGCTAAGCAATTACAATTATGCTTTTTCAATAGACAAAAGTTATAATTCTATTACACAGAGAATTTGTGGGCCATCGGGAATGATTTTGCTAGATTCCATTAAGTGTCTTCAGAAAGTCCCCAAAGTTTCCACTTTTTACAATGGTCCCTAAAATACCAAATTTGCAGGCTTGAAGAATTGAAAATGTACTAATTAGTCTGCTTTTGAATCTGAAGTTATTTATAAATTCACTTCATCCAATATTATATTTGTAGGGGAAAAAAACACATTTGTACAGAATGGGTTAGAACAACATATCCCATTAAAAAAGTAAAAGTGAATTTTCAACAAAAACAAAAATGGGCCATTAAAAAATTTTTGAAAATGTCCTAGTCTCTTTAACTAGGAGTAATAGTATAGTATAATAGAAACCTCTTTTCCCACTTAACTAACAAGTACAATATTTAAAGTCTAATTCTGTTATTTGAATCTCCTTTAAGGGTTAACCACAAAGATATATATTCTTTTCCATCAATGCAGTACTACATAAAAGTAAGATTATATTTAAATTAACTTCTTGACTTTAAAAATCAGAGGCTCCATTTCAATATCAATATATGTTTTGTGTGTACACGCATGTGTGTGGGTATTTTCTTCTGAGTCACATTTTTTTAAAAAATTTGCATTGATTTAGTCCCTTTAGGAAAATGCTGATTAGAATAGTTGTATGTACACATATGATTTTCAATTGTTTAATCAAGACAAAGTTGAATGGGGCTTAATGTCTAAACTTAGTAGAGAGAAAACATCCAGCTGTAACTTTAGTAACCTCTCAGAACAAGACTATCATTTGTTTCTGCTCTTGTGATTACTTGGGTGTCTCTGAATGTCCCCACTAACTTTGTGAGATTCCAAAAAGAGTTGATATATTTGGGGGAACAGAGCTTCTTCAGCAAAGCAGCTGCACAAACACTGATCACTACAAATTAGGCATAATTAAGTTCACAAAACAAGGCTTTATAAGTCTCCCAGAACAATGTTTTGTTTGGTCTTGATAATTTTGAAGTTTGAAATTGTCAAGTCCTTTCATTTTCCTACATAAGGTATATTCTAAGAGAAGATAATTATGGGACAAAATACTATGTATTCATTAAATATAGGGTTCTTAAAAATAACAATAAATAAATAAATAAATAAATATAGGGTTCTTTTCTCTCGTATTATTATTTAAGTTTCTAACATGATTCCATTTATTCTTGCCCAACTGGTATCTGCAACATTTTGTAGACCCCTTCCACCTTGAATTAGGGATATCCCCTGAGGACAATAGGAAATTACATGTAGTGGCAATGCATGACACTTCCAAGGCTGGTTTCCAATTTTGTCTCCATGATTGCTACCTCTGGAAAATCACTACTATGCCATTGAGCAGCCCCTTGAAGAGGTCCATGACAAGTAAGAAAAGACAACCATGGTTGTAAATTTATTGGAGGGGGGGGGTGTTGATTAGCTATGAAATAAGAAATAATGAGTATGTTGCTTAGTACTGGAAAAAAATTGTATTAAAGTCCTAAAAATGCGGTAGCAATGTAGGGGCTGAGATACACAAGTTAGCTGGATGGATTTTAGAAGATCTGTTGGTCAGAATCCTAATCATTCTTGAGGAGATTTTTAGTAGTAGCTTAAAGGAAGGCGAGAAAATTGTTATTGCAAATGGGAGAAAATTTGACCTGTGCTATGTTGTGGGGAGAACTTTAGCAACATTGTTGTCTATGATAATATGGAAAGAAAAAAGATGTATTTACTAAGTTATGTATTCAATCTGAGGATATTTCCAGGCAGAGTATTAAAGGTACTATCTGATACTTTCTTTGTGTTTTTAGTAAAAGAAAAGAGAGAGAGAGAGAGAGAAACTAAGGAAGAAATGCTAAATCTAAGGAAGCCAAGACCTGATGGACTTAATGTTAAATGTTATTTTTTTAATCACTCTATTCAGATAGCAAACAATGCAAGAATCAAGAAATTACCAGTCAATGATTAAATACCAGGAAAGCATTATCTAACAATGGTAGAAAGATATGACTGTAAAATTCATAAAATTCATTAAGACCTCAGAAAGACATTAGGTGGCATGTCAGAAAGCAATCCACTTAAACAAAAGAATCCTCTAAGTAGCTTATCGGTATACCTAGCACATCTACACTTTAAACAATGGAAGTTCTAATAATTTTAATAGACCTTAATAGACCAGAAGCCCAAGGAGGGGGAGAGTTTATCTTTATGATATTATAGATATGGCCTTTTATTTAATGGAGCAAATTTGAATAACATTCATTAGAATCCTATCCATTTTTAGGGGAACTCTATTGGTAGTACAACCACCAACTTGTACTGAATGGAACAGAGATGGTTCAAAATAGAATGACTTTGAGAGCCCCAAACTTCTATGTGCAGGAAACTATAGTTACAAACACAGACTGCAAGTTATATACGAATATGCATATATGTGTGTATATGTGTGTGTGTATGTATATACATGTTGAGTGGGAATTTCTTAATTCTTGCATACACACACACACACACACACACACACGTGTGAAGGATGTTTTAGAGTAGCGGAACTAAGAACATGAAGAGCAGAGCTAAGAGTCATGGAAAACCATTTCAGAGAAAGAGGAGGGTTGAGTCCTAATCAAGAAATAACCAATATATGCCTGGCTAGATTTCAGAACTGATATGGTCCAAGACATCTTATTTTCATCTTTTGAATCCAAGTGTACAAATTGGTTTCTTTTTGCATTTATTACTGGTGTAGTGCACTTTGTGTGTGTCTGTTCACATGTCTTTAGAGAACCCAACTTGAATAGTTGTATTCAAGTCACTGAACCCAAACAGCTTTCTATCCTCTTGGAACTCCCTAGGAGCTTCATTTTGGTCTGACTTGATTTGGATTTTAGGCAGATGCTCTAATAAAATGTAATTTTAGAAGGCTTTTGGAGAAGATGAATGCACTTTACACACTGAAGAGACATGAATCTTCGTGAGCCAGAGGGTGAAACCTGGCAAACAACATCTAGTATGGCCATAAAATCTTCACATTATAACTATGGTTCTTTAAATACCTCATAGTACTTAGGGTCGTTCATTGTCCCCTCCCACAATGAATCAATGCTGACATGTGTAACAGGCCTTTGCAAAGTCACAGTGAAGAGTCACAGTGTTAGCTGGCTTCTAATGCCAAGTAATAAAAGGCATTCGAGGTTGCACTTTAGTTTTGGGATCACTGACTATAAGAGAACCAGTTCCTATGTCAGGAAACCCTCAAGCAATCTGAGGAACAGGGACTCATGTGGAAGGAATCTAAACAGAATATAAATAATACATTCTCCTCTGTTTCTCTGTCCCTTTCAGTGCAAGCTGGTGGTAGTACTTCCAATAGAGTTCCCTGAAAACTGAATGGGATTCTTATGAATGTTATTCAGGCCACTATCAGCCAGGTGATAGATGAGGTGGAGGCTCCATCTTGATCAACCTTCAGATTGCAGCCCTGAGAGGCATTAGTGGCAGCCTTTCTAGTAACTGCAAGACAGAATTGCCCAGCTAAGCTGCTTCTGACTCACTGGCTTCCTCCAATAAAGTAAGAGTTAATAAATGCTTACTGGGTTGGACTTCTAAGTTTTGAGGCAATTCAATGCACCAAGAGATAACTGATTTAGATGAAAATGAACAAATCTGCTCTCATTTTCTCAGTTTTTAGGAATTAGAACTCAAATATTAATATAAAATTATTAATTCTACTCAGACCTGCAAAACAAATTAACTGACATATGTAGGCAATTCCTTTATAGTTAACAATGAGTTAAAGACTTCCCGTCTTTGGACTAAAATTCCTGGTGCTCCAACTCCTTTTGAAATAGAGGAGAACATATTATTTATATTCTGTTTTGTTTCCTTTATGGACAAATATAATTTCAGTAAAAATACTAACATATTATTATCTGGGGGTTCTTGTAGGCACTTCTCTGAAGCTTAGGGTTTAACCTGCCTAGTGGATTAATAGCAGGACTATTTGGAGCTATAAATTTGCAGCTGGGATTTTCAGGGTCAGAAATGAAAAGATATAAAATGGAAATGAAGTAAAATTTAACTAAAATTGTCAAGTTAGTAGAAAAATAATATAGATCACAGAGGTAAAAATTTTCCACATTTTCTTTAAAACTTTAAATTTATACCCACAAATTC